ATTCAAATGACATACGATTACACATATATCAATATTAATGAAAGAGAGTCACGACTTCTGAAACCTGGTAATTCATTTGGAAAGTACCAAATGACCCATACTGAATGATCATGCCTTTTCGTTAAATTCTTATCAGGAATAGGATCATAGTCATGATATATATCTCTGTAAGTTTTATTCATGTATGTTGAACACGAATATGCAATGGTAAAGGATGCAACCGAACACCACACTGAGAATATTACATACCAAATTTGGTAATCTCTCTCATGTCTTTCATGTACCAGTTCTGTATAATACCCAAGACACCAATCATGTCCTTTGATCAACGATGTAACCTTTAAAAGGGTTGCATTAGTTTCTAAAGGCACTTCGAGACTTCTAATTGGTCAGTCGAAACCAACCAAGAATCTATGGATGTCTGTTTAAATCTCTAGACTTAAAAAACTGCAAACTTAAAAAAGTCAACAAGTGTAAGTAAGTCTTTCAAGTATATACATAGTATCCAACCGTAAATCAGGATTTGATACACTGAAGAGTCAAAAGTTGCAACACTTCATAAAATGTGAAATATCTTTTTGGAAAACATGTGACTATTAATGAAGAGTCAGAAGTTGCAACACTTTATTTAAGCAAACATATTTTTCTACCAAAATGCTCCACTTCTAATTTCAATTCAATTAATAAATTTAATATAATAATATTATTATTAAATTTTCCAACAATTATAAGAGTAACTCCAACGATGCAAAGGCCCCCTAGGGCAAGTCATTATTTATCCAATGTCGTCGTGCCATGTGTCGTTACCTTTTTAGAATTGTTCAGGATATATTTCTGATTAGATTTTTAACCAATCATGTCACACCACATGTTATAATCTATTTACAATCTTCGATGATAGATTTCGATCAGATTTTTAACAAATGACGGCATGCCACGTGACATTATCTACAACCTAATCCTTTATTTGTCCTCCATATAACCCACCATCCATCCTAAGAAATCACACACCAAAATCAAAATATCTATCATTATTCATAGTTTCTACTTCCTTCTTACAATGTCTTCTTCTTCAAGAATGTTGTGGGAAATCGAGGAGCAATAGAAAGAATTGTTTAAGCAAGGGAAAGAAATGTTCAATCTCCAAGTGGCCTAAAATGAGATGGAAGAAGATGAGGATTAGGAGCGTAGAAGGAAAGATGGCGAAGCAAAAAGCCAAAGAGCTTCACATTCTCATTGAGTCATCCACGTTGTGGCTTAGATCTGCAGGCCTAGCCATTCCACAAAAATTGATAGAAGCAGGCAATGACAAGGTAAGGATCTTTTGGACGATTATTTTGTCCGTAACGGTGGATTCCCTGATACGTACTTTGGACGTCGCTTTAGAATGGAACGACATTTGTTCAACAAAATCATGATTGTTGTTTGCAACCATAATTCTTACTTTGTGCAAAAGAATGATGTTTTTGGTGTTACGGGCTCCTTCTTAAGCAAAAAATTATTGATGCCTTATGGATGCTTGCATATGGAGCATCTGCAGACCAAGTGGATGAGATAGTGAGGATGGGTAAATCAACTATTATTGAGTCTCTGATAAGGTTTTGCTTCGCAATCGAATCTCTCTACACCACTGAGTACATTCGGAGACCTACTGAAATAGACTTGCAAAAGCTTCTGAAGAAGGCCAAGATGCGAGGTTTTCCTGAGAAGATTGGAACAAGCAGAGAAGAATGCAACATGATAAGCTGAAACAAATCACTGTAGCACGACGCCATTCCCTGCAGAACTGCATAATCCAGACAGAGAAGTCTAAGTCAAATCCAAACCCGGCGTCGTTGCTCTAATTAAAGAGCTCGAGAAACTTCAACAACCTTTCGCTGGTACCGTCGCCAAAGAGCAAAGTCTCGCCGTGCAACGCCGTTAAATCACCCTTGCTTCTTAAAAAACAAAGTATCTCAGATCATGTTTTTTCCTATGTTTTTCTTTGTCCTTATTCTTACCTACAGGACAATGAGAATGAGAGCAATTTGTCATCACTTGGAATCAAGATTCCAATCAGGAACCGACTGCCTGGAACCCCTTCCCTGATTAGTTACCTAGCATCACTCTCGAGTATTCATCCATATCTGCCTAGAGAATAGATAAGATGAGTAACAATGAAACATCAAGCTTGTGGATAATCAACAAATGCAACAACTGCATGTGCCCTTGAAGAAATTACGAGTCCAATTCAAGATCAAGTATCCACCATCCTTAAATCAAATTCAGCCCCAGATAAAAGGAGTAAGTTCAGACCTTTGGAGGAAACTAGAAAACCCTCTAGCCCAGTTCAATATTAAGCCTGTGGAAAATCAACAATTAGAGGAAATCATAAAATCTTCTTGCCAAATTCAAGATCAAGCCCACACAGCCCTTGAAGAAAATTTCAGCCCAATTCAAGATCAAGCATCGATGATCCTTGGATCAACATCTACATTAAGGGACTTCAAAACGCATATTCTACACATGACAAGCACATGTATACGACGCGCCTTGAAGTGGGGGCATTTGTAGACATCAAAATTTTGGTGAAATAAATGTTAACCAATGCATTAAAATTTCAACATTCACGTGTCACATAAATTTTACACGTGTCGTGTGACTTAACAAAAAATCAAAAAAAAAATCAGAAAAGTCATCAAATAGGACACATGTCAACACCTGCCAAAAATGATTTATTCATCTGAATATGATATTCAAAATTAGGCCTTGAAAAATTCTATAAATACAAGGTCATTTCATCCAATCAAATGGCCAATTCACATATACATTTCTCTACTCCCAAATTTGAAGAGAATTCCCCAAATCATTAAAGTTATGAAACTCTAAAGCTTTCAAGCATCCAACCTCCCAAATTCCCAAGAATCCTAAAAGATCAAGAAAGCTCTCTTTGTTCTTCGTCAAATCCTTGAAGAAATCCACTAAACTGTTCATCAAGATCAAGCCCTGAAGGCCCTTGAAGATCTGTTCATCCTCATTCATCAAGATCAAGCCCAATGACCCTTGAAGAAATCCACACAACTGTTCATCAAGATCAAGTCCCGAAAGCCCTTGAAGATCCGTTCATTGGATTCATTAAGATCAAGCCCAACGGCCCTGGAAGAAATCCACACAACTGTTCATCAAGATCAAGCTCCGAAGACCCTTGAAGATCCGTTCATCCTCATTCATCAAGATTAAGCTCCAAAGGCCCTTGAAGATCTGTTCATCTAAGATCAAGCCCCGATGACCCTTTGAATCAACAACATCAACAAATCTGCACCACTGTTCATCCCTAAACCAAGCCTCGACAACCTTTTGGATCAACAACTCATCCATAAATCTACACCTTACGAAGATAGAATCAAAGGATCAAATTGTAAAAGAGATTGTAACCCCAAAATTAATACAAAATATTATTTTGTACACGTTTTCTTGTTTCATTCATCACAGGAAAATTCGTGTTTACAAATCCATCCATATTTCTGTTAAGTGAGACCATGTGCACAACATGTGAGGGTAGTTAAGTCATTTCACTATTAAAATGATTAAAAAATTGAAAATAAATAAAAAACAAAATTTTCCCTCTATTTTTTCCCGCTAATTCCTATCCTTAATTTTATTTTTCCCTCTCATTCCTATGCATGAGAAATGACATATGATGTTAATGCTAATTTCTGTAAGTACATCATTTTCTATTCTATAGGTATAAATGAAAATACAAGAGGAAGGCATGCATGTCAAGTGAAGTTTTTATATTTCAACTGGATTTATGTTAATGCTTTAACTGATTTTTTTTTTTTAGGTTACAAGAGAAAGGTATGTATCTCAAGCACAACCTCAAGTTGCTACTTCTACATCACACCCTCAACCAGCCATAAAAAATGAAAATAGGTTTAGGTACAAGATTCCAACCAAATGAGGAAGGCCATGGAAAGTGTAGTTGATCTCCATGTGTCATGTGCGCTTTGAGCAGGATGTTTGTGCTTTTGTTTTGATAACTAAAACCTTATTTTGCTTGTGTTTGGTTAAGTGGAATGCCCATATTTTGTAATCGAGATTCTATGGGTTTTATACATTATGTATGGTAAATTCTCTTATGTTTTCCAACTTCTTAAGGATCATTTTGTGAAAATGTATTGGGATTATCATGACATTATGAAAAATATGTAATTATCTTGAGCATTTTTTTATGAGTATTATGAACATGTTTCTTATATTAATGCACTGCTTTGGAGACAATAACACCATGAGCATTTATCAAATTATTAATTTGTTAGAGAAAATAAAAATGGTAGTACATGCTTCAAGAAAAAGACTAACTTGGCTTCAAGAAAAAGACTAACTTGGCTACTTATGAAGACAATAACATCATATGTCATTTCTCATGCATAGGAATGAGAGGAAAAAATAAAATTGAGGATAGGAATTAGCAGGAAAAAATAGAGGGAATTTTTTTAAAATTTATTTATTTTCAGTTTTTTAATCATTTTTAAGAGTGAAATGACTTTATTACCCTCACATAATCTCACTTAACATAAATATTGATGGAATATATGAAAAACTAACGGTATGAGGCAAATCGGCTAAAAAAAATACTTTGTGTTCTTAATTTTCCAATAGAAAAGTTACTAAGTGAAAGTGCAAAAGGAAAATCGACGGTTTACTGAAATAAGTATTGAGTTTGGCTTACATCCCACTTCCCAGATACACAAATGGCGGAAGCTGGTTGGTCGAGAGTACCCAACAAACGTAACAAACTTAAGCTAATTCACATGTGAGAATAAAGCATCTCACGTGTCAGAATCTAAATCCAACACAACACTGCTTTAGTTTTGGTGGATTCGAATGCCCTCCAGTCCATGTCTCTGACGCCTCACTTTCTCTCCTGACTTGTGACTGCTACTCCTTAAATCCCCAAAATACCCCTGAACAACTACCTATTGCCTAAGATATTTCCGTAATTATTCATTTCCTCGAAATCTTGACTCCTCCCCAAGTCTTTCCACCATCAATTTATGACGGCATCGTCGTCCAAAAGCCCCAAAATCTCTCTCTAGGGTTTCACGGGTAAGATCCCAAATCCCTAATAAAATCCCCTTGTTTTTCCCCAATTCGAGCTCCTAGGGTTTCGATTTTGCGGTAATGTACATATTCGGGGTTTCATTCACGTGCAATTTTGGTTTTTTACGGGTTTTTGATTGAGGGCTTTGGTTTTTTAGAATTCACGTTTGAATTTCCAGGAAGGTTGGGGTTTATCTGAGTGAAGATCTGTGCGGTTGGTGTTTGATTATTGTAGGGAAGTTTTGGGTTTAGGGTTTTTTTGTTGGATATTTATTGGTGGGGATTTAGGGTTTTTGTTGGTTTAGCGTTGAACTAATGGCTTCTATGGGTAAGGAGGATGTGGAGTATGAGAGTGATCCGGAGGTAACGAAGCGATCTCTGGCGATGCGGAGAAGGGCAGCGGCCAGCGACGATGAGGAAGGTGAAGAGGAGGCGACGGAGAAGCCGAGGAAGGATCCGAGAGCCGCGGTTCACTCCGATGAATCGGATGATCAGGGTGGGGCGGCTGAGTATGATGATGACGAAGAACTAGAAGAAGAAGAAGGAGAAGAAGAGGAAGAGATTGGTGAAGAAGAAGAGTTTGAGGAGGAAGTTGTGGAAGAAGAGGAGTTGGAAAGATATCAGGAGAGAGGCCGGGAAGGCGAGCTGGGTGGCAGGGTTGAGGTTTTGGCTGTTAAGGAATCGAGTGGTGATGGTCGGAGGTCTGTGGAAGGGTCCGTGGATGAGAATGGGGGGAATGAGGCTGAAGAAGGGGAGGAGAAGAAGGAGAATGAACCATTTGCAGTCCCCACAGCGGGTGCTTTTTATATGCATGATGACCGCTTCAGGGAAAACTCTGGTGGTCGGCACAGGTAATTGTTTATGATTTTTTATTGCATTTGCGGTCATATGAATGTGGGTGTGGTTTGGCGAGTTGTGCTGTTGTAATATAGAAGTAAACTTGTGCAGCTGTGATAGTAGCTCCTTTATGGATCATTGTTTTCCTTCGGCATCACCCCCCCCCCCCCCCCCCCCCCTTCTCCTCTCTTTTCATGGTTATGGTGTATAGCGCTGTAATAATTTGAAGCATTCTGCTTTCAGTAGGCGAACACGTGGTGGAAGGAAGCTGTGGGAATCCAAAGATGAAAGAAAATGGGGGCACGATAAGTTTGAGGAGATTACTTTGCAGGAAAGGCGCTACGAAGAAGTAATAGTTGTATACATGGTCATACTGCAGAATATTTTGTTCTATAGATCTTTTTTCATCTCTCATCTTTCTGATGTGCACTACTTACTAATTCAGGGAAAGAAACCTTCAAAGGGTCCTTATGTAGGTCGCGGAAGAAACCGAGGTATTGATCGTGGGAGTGCCAGAGGAAACAGGTCTAAAGAATATGACAGGTCTAAAGAATATGACAATAATAATCAGAGACAGGTACCCAAGGGTGTTAGAGGGAGAGGGCCCAGGAGGTATGAACCGGCTTTTAGGAATAACAGACAGGCACCGCCAACACAAAAAACAAACAGTGAGTACAACGTATTCTTATGGTACTAATATTTCTTTGTTAATTCATGATTTTTTTTAATTAGCTGTCACATTGATTTTATTTTCAGGTCTGGAAAGCCTGCCGAGAAAAACGTACAAAGTAATTTAGAGAGAACATATACTCCCAACTCAAATGCAGAGTCTGGCCAGGTTTCTGCTAGGAAAAAAATTCCTTCGCCTCAAGCTTGAATTCAGCTTCTCCTCCTTTTTACCCATCAGGCTCTTCCAGTTCCAATAAAGATATCACTCTTACTCCTAAGCGGGATGCACAGGTTGGGAGTGGTAAGAGGAACCTTCGGTCTTCTGTAGTGCAGGAGAGTTTCAATGTGCCCCAAACCAATGCATTGGAGAGAGGAAAAGAACATAGCTGAATCTGTCGGTATGAACAAGCTTTATATAAATGACTCTACCAATCCAGCTGCTGGGAAGACTTTGACCAACATAAAAATGTCACCTTCTGGGTCATCATTTGTCAATACTACTCAAGCTCCTCAGTCAAGGGTTCAAGGAAGGGGTGTTATCTCAGGACAAATGAGTTATCAACCGGTGTCTCAGAACCAAATGACAAGAGCTTCTCCATCCACACATCTTCATGCTGGTCAGCGCAATCCTGCTCAAAATCGATCTCAACTGGCTCTGCAAGGTCCTGCTCAGCAGATGGGACAACATCCTGGGAGTGGATCTCAGGCTTCCTCTCCACCCAACACAACCATGTCATCAAATTCCTTCGAATCAGGAGAAGTTGAATCACCTTCAGATTCAAGCAAATCTAAAGGTGCCCTGGTTGCAAAGGGAAAAGGCAGTGTTCAGGGTAGTGCAAGGGGCACTATTTCTTATGGCGGAGCTCCAGTTACGGGACCCACTGGGAGTATGGGTGTTAATCATGATCAGAACTTCCCTGGTGCTCCAGCCTTTTTGCCTGGTAAGTATATTGGATTACCTTTTTAGTACTCCAGAATTATAGAGTTCCCCTTAATTATAGAAGGGAAATTGGGCTTAGTAGCCCTTTTACAAACCCACCAACTAAAAATAACCCTGCTCTCAAAGTGCAATTTCTACTAGCCCTCTTTGACGAAAAATACCTTCAAGTTAATATGTTATCGGAACTATTAATACATTATCGACACAGTACTGATAGATTATCGACACAATATGAATACATTATTGGCACAATATTAATACATTATTGACACCATAATTTTTAGTAAGAGGCTTTTCACTTGAGGGTATTTTCGTCAAAGAGGGCTAGTAGATATTGCATTTTGAGAGCATGGCTAATTTTGTTGGTGTATTTGCAAAGGGCTAGTAAGCCCCAATTTCCCTTTATGTGGATGCAAAGTAAAACATAATCTAGGTTAATCATCTGTTTTTGCCCCGAACTGTAAACGTAACAAAACATATTCACTGCTTCTCTGAACTGTCTAGGATTTCACCTCAATGGTGTTCTTTGAACTGCTTATCGATAATGATTGACAGTAGCTAAAATGAGCAGATTAAATTATTAGTGCATATTAAGTTGTGTCTTTTTCTAACATTTAAGCATTCAATAGATTATGATTTGTGGTCTTATCTGGTTGGATGATTGTGCAGTCATGCAATTTGGGGGCCAGCATACTGGGGGTATGGGAGTTCCTGCTGTTGGCATGGCGTTCCCTGGATATGTTGCTCAGCCACAACTTGGTGGGTTTAGGAAATTCTGGCGAAATGACATGGTACGTGAATTGCATTAATGATAGTTCTTTCTGTTGGTCTTGTCTTCTTCTTGTTCTTCTTCTTTACGGGAAGTTGATATCTTATTTAGTTCATTTAGAGGTCGCACTTGGTGCGATGGCAAGTGCCTTCGCCCATGAGCGGTAGGTCTCGGGTTCGAGACTTGGGAGCAGCCTCTCCATAAATGGGGGTAAGGCTAGCCGACATTCACCTCTCCCAGACCCTGCGTAAAGCGGGAGCCTTGTGCACTGGGTACGACCTTTAGTGGTTGACTACTCTGCATTATGAATTATTGTCTACTATAAAGAGAATTATGCAAAGGGGTGTGTATTTAATTGAGATTTTGAAAGATTTTAAGAGAGTTGTAAATTTGTTAAGTTTGATGGAGTTCTAATGGAGTTTCATATATCCATGTGAATTCATTCAAAATTTTTGGGGGAGAGGCAAGATTTCTTAAAGCCTTTTACACTATAAAATCTGTTTAAATCCATCAAAATCCTTTTAACTTTTCAAAGTACTTTAAAATCAAATCCTAATTGAATACACATGGATTTTTTATACTACCTAAAAACCCTGATTCAATACATCTAGATTTCTATGGAGTTTTATGAACTCCTTTAAAATCTTGGTTGAATACCCATGGACCTCCATGGAATATCCCTGAATTTGTAACCTCACACTCTTTTAAACTCCTAATTGATTACTAATACTAAATATATTTTCTCTCTATATATCATTTCTGTGAGGAGGTAGGAACTGCTTCGGTGTCATATCTGTCTTGGAAAAATATCTTCAAATATTGCTATGAGAATGGAGTTCAATCTAATGGTGTGATTCCTTTAGTTTGAGAAAGATCTCTGGTGATAATTGTTTGAATTGTTTTAGGTTACCTGTATTGGCGGGTGCTGCAGGAGCATTGGGGGCAACATATTGTCCTCCATATATTACTGTTGATGGTTCTTACCATGGTCGCCCATCTGGACAAACATCTTCTGTGGGTTCCCTGAGGTTGGTTGTATGGCGTCTCTTTGATTATTTATGATTCTGAGATAATGTTCTCTCGTTTACCATAACCTGCTTAGCTTTTTAGATTTGTCTCTTGCTATTATACTATGTGGTTCCTTTTTCGCTTTATTTATTTATTTATCTATCTTTCTTGATTAAACTTCCCTTGTTCAAGTCGAAATAAACTGTTTAACGGGTCTTTCTACTGCCACATGGTTAGGAGATCCTATTTTTCAATTATGTTTTTAATAAACATCTATGTCTACCATTCTGAATAATCTTCGTTTATTTGCAGCAAAGAGAATAATGCAAATAAAACCAATAACGAATGGAAGCCTTCACAAAAGCCTGGTATGACATTATATTACACTTAGCTCTGCTTCCCACCTTTTTTTTTTTAACTCTTGGCCATTGAGTTGGGCATTTAATAATTTATGAATTGTTATGGTTTGGCATTGACATAGTTTTTCCATTACAGAGATTGTTGGAGATGAGTATGGGCAGCGACAAAACAAGCCTCGTAGGCAAGTCATACCTCATGTTTTCAAGAACTAATTATTTGTTTGCCAAACTTGCTCCGCTGATCCCAGGGTTGGGTTAAATTGGAGAGGGTGCATTTTATACATAGACTTTTCATGCAATCTGAATGCTTTTTTCTTTTCAAGTGCAGATATTCACAGATGAATGTGGCCAGTGAAGTACTTCAAAATAATACGGAGCTTGTTTGAATAAGCAGATGAAGGTTCTGTCTTTCCCCGAATTTAACTTTTCTGCTATATTGGGAGTGTGAAGTTCTAAGTTTTGTTCATTTGGTGCTGCAGGCGTTCGTCTGAGCCCTTTGTGATCTTCAGCCTATGTTCTGGGGCACTTTGGGCCAATGTTTTCGAAGATATCTTAGGTATGTCATCCTTGGTCTTTCGTCAATTTGGTTTTACATGTATTTAATGCTTGACACCCCAAAGTGATAATTCTATTTGGATAGGATAGCACGCCAAGTTTCTTCCATGAGTAATGACATTCTATTTTTTTATGAACCAACAAAATGTTCAATTAAATATTTTGGAAAGGCCTGTGTTTCATTTATTTGTATTGTCGAAGAATTGGGCACTACAACCACCATCTGTACGTAGGCCATCGGAAGATTGACACACTGTTTGTTTTATCCTTGTATCGCCAAATTTATTTTACGGCATTGTAATAATATTTAGTTGTATGCTTATATCTCTTTCTTGTCTGTTTCCCTCTTCTTCCTGTCTGTTCCTGCAGTTACCTATGACAAACACCTGCTCATGCTGCACTCAATCTAAGATCAATATTGCGGCGTGATTGTTTACAATTTCGGTAGGAAACGTTTCAAGTGAAAAAAAAAAAAAAAACTTAAATATCTTTGTTCTTGTGAATCGTGGTCGACTGCTGTGTAATACATTTGCTTTTTCTGTCTTCAGGTTTTCTTGTGGTTTGGATTTTTATCGAAAAGCTTGTTTGAAAATGTAGACGGGCTTCCACGTGAACTGATATATAAAAGAAAATGGAAAAAAAGTACAAAGAATTGTTGTGCGGCAGCAGCAGTTCGCTCGGCGATGGTTTCTATAAGTTCTTTCACTTTACATATAGATGCATTGGATTTTTTTGTTACCTATGTTGTTAAAAACCTTTGTGGTAGTATTTTCCTTGTTTAGTTGAGGAGGTATGAAGCTCTGCTTGAACCATCGATGATACTGTAATGACTTGTTTGCTATGAATATGTGATATGTGAATTAATTATGTTTAATTGGAAGAGTAATCTGTGTTTGTTTATATATTTTTTTTTTGAACCGGCCCGGTCTAAGTTTGGCAACCGTCGTGGCGGCCTTTAATCCGCCTCCGGGTCTGAGGCTAGCTACCAAGGCCAGCTTTCCGTCGTCCTCCGGATCAAAGGCCGTCGAACATTTTAAAGGATATTCTTTGCAGCATAACTGAAATGCTTATGGGTACTGAAACCTGAGTTGTTAGAAATGGGCAACGTCAGCATGACAGAAGTTTTGACGATTAAATCGGACACGGATGTATCCCTAAATGAGTATTCATGGTGTAAATAGGAGTTAAACAAAAAATGTTATCGACAAAATGCCACCTTTACTATGCAAACGAAGATTTTGTTAAGAACAGTCGTCTGCAGCTGGTAAAACTGTCGCCCATTTGACTGTTCAAATACAAATAAGCAGTCGTTTACAAATAAACGTGAACGACTGTTCCTAACATCTTACAAATAACGCAATCAAGCTTGAATATGCAATTATCCAAAATAAAAGAGACACCTGCCGCCACTTGCGGAATACTCGCTAGTTCTTGCAGGACTTGGATTGTCTACCCTTCCATTTCGGTGCCCTTCTCGTGTCCTCCTGTTTGTGTGGTCACGGTTAAGCCACGTCAACATTTTATATTACTATTTCTTTTTGTTTTATTATTTTTTATAAAAAAAACAATATAAAATGTTGACGTGGCTTAACCGTGACCACATAAAACAGGAGTGCACGGGAGGGCACCGAAATGTAAGGGCAGACAATCCAAGTCCGTTCTTGCAAGGGGATTTGTGGGGCCAGGATAATCAGAAGCATGATACAGATGGAGGACCATGATTGGCTGTGAGACCCCACCGACGCTGCAGTGGGACCCCGAGCTTACAATTTTATTCAGCGTAGGTCAGCTGCAAAAAGACCCCCAGGCCAGACGCAGCAACAGCCAGAAAGGGGCAAAAGTTTTAAAGTAGTCCGTGCTGCTTCCGAATCCGTTTACACCGCACGCGCGATCAGACACATAACAACAATCTCTCTCCGGCTCTAAAACCTCTCTCGGCCATCTTCACACTCACTCACTCACTCTGCAACTTGTGCTTCTCTCTCTCAAGACGAACCGTCGAGATCTTGGAGGCGCAGAGCATGCAGCAAATCCATGTAATTTCTCTCTCCTCTGAAAGCTCCTTTTTGCTTACCCAATCTTTGAAATCTTTCTTTATATGTATGCGTGTATATATGTATGAATTTTCATATTTTCGTTGGGCGGTTTGATAGGGAATGAGCTCCGAATTAATTGCATGATTTCTTGGTAAGTAGTAATCAGTGAATCTTTTATGGTCTGTTTGGCTGCCGAGAAAATGGAGCGAAAGAAAATGAATCAAGTCTCTCGAGTTAGTGAGAATTAGGATCGGAGAAAATTTTAGATTCAGCTCTGACCTTATAGTTGATCTTCATCGATAACTTCGAAGACCGAGAAATTAATGAAAATTTTTGGATCTTGATTTTTTGTTTTGTTAATTTTTAGTACAGAAAAATAAGCATTACTTGAATTAGTTATAATTATTTTCCTGTATGTTCTTGTTGGTTGATTGTGATTACAAATTACAGGGATACTATTTTTAGACATGGATATGGATGTTTAATTAACATAGAATCTGCGTGTTTATTTTTTTGGGTTTCTGGTGAAATGCTGAATGCAGTTACTCCGTTTGATTGCTGAGAGTGCCAAGTAACGCTAAACGGATTAAAATTTCATTCTGTGAGCTATATAAGACTTTAAAGAAAATTACAAGAGCCGAGAGAATTTTGTGCTCTGGGCCAATTTGTTTTAATCTGCTCATTTGCTCATTCTTGTGTATAGAGAAAATCATTTTTCTTTACTCTTGATTGCTGCAGAGACCGAATTAAAAAGGAACTGATGTTCTTCGAAGAATGTGTTTTGAGCTTTTTTCTGTTGTAAAATAGTTAAAAGAGAAAGATGGAGGAAAGCACTAGAGTGGATTATAAGTCGTCGAGAGAAAGTGGAAGTTTTAAGTCTACATTGTCAGGAAGATCCAGCCCTCGAAATTCTCCTTCATTTCGGAGATTGAATTCTAGCCGTACTTCGCAAAAAGAAGGTAGAAGTAGTGGAGGTGTGCAGTGGTTTCGGAGCAATCGGGTACTGTTTTGGTTGTTATTGATTACTCTTTGGGCTTATCTTGGAGTTTATTTTCAGTCCAGTTGGGCTCATAGCAATAACAAGGATAACTTCTTGGGGTTTGGAAATAAAGCAAGGAATGGGAAGTCAGACAATGAACAGAATCTGCGGAGAGATTTGCTTGGCAGCAACAGTTCTGTGGAAGTTAAGAATGGAACCACAGAAAATCAGGTGGAAGATGGTAAAAGGATAGATGTGGTTTTAACAAAAAAGGATAATGGAGTTTCATCTCATCAAAGCGCAAGTCCAAAAAAGAAGAGTAAAAAAGGAGTTCGTAGTCTTCGTGGTAAAGGGAAAGGTAATCAGAAGAAGGCAGTGCAGGTTGATGACCATGAGACAGAGGAGCAGGAAATGGACCTTCCCAAGACAAATACTACTTATGGGATGCTTGTTGGTCCATTTGGTGTTCTAGAGGATCAAATTTTAGAATGGAGTCCTAAAATGCGGTCTGGAACCTGTGACAGGAAGGGGGACTTTGCACGTCTTGTTTGGTCTAGGAGATTTATATTAATATTCCATGAACTTTCAATGACTGGGGCTCCACTTTCTATGATGGAATTAGCAACAGAACTTTTGAGCTGTGGAGCCACAGTTTCTGCTGTAGTTCTTAGCAAGAAGGGTGGCTTGATGCCAGAGCTAGCTAGGAGAAGAATCAAGGTGCTTGATGATAAAGGAAAACAAAGCTTCAAAACTGCTATGAAGGCAGATCTCGTCATCGCCGGGTCAGCAGTATGTGCATCATGGATTGGTGAGAACCATTTTAAGAAATTCCAAGTTAATACATTTGCTGATCTCACAAATTTTGAAGTGTATAACATTAACTATCAATACCTCCGTATTGTTTTCAGTGACCTGATGTTGTATTTACCTCTATAGATTTTGTATCTCTAACGTTGAATGTTGTGCTTGTTTAGTTACGGATTTCAGTGCCTTTTTAGCATCTTGAAGTACAGGTTATACATGTAAAAACAGTATGCTTTCCCATAGAGATTAGTCAGTTTCTTGTAGAATTTTTTGATAGGATTATAAATTGGTCCGATGCCTCCAATCTCCCAGAGTGATTTCCATGTAAATAGTTACAGCACTGTATGGATGGAACAACATATATTGCCTAAATAATTTATTCTGTGTTGGAATTATGTGGTTTTCTATTCACCAACTGCTGACCTCCGATACTTCATCCACTTTCATGCTAATTGATGCAGGAAATATGCATGTTTTCTTTAATTAAGACGGTTTTATTTTTCCGTTCTAGGAGAACAATGACACTGACTAAGTTATTAACCTGATGAAATAGCCATATTATCCTCTGGTTTTTCTTGACCTTATAAGGATGTGTTCATGCACCAGTTATATATACATTTGGAAATCAGTATTCCCTCAGTAATTTGTAAATACATAAATTCCATCTTTTTAACACCTTATTAGTTTATTTTGCATTGATGTGTTTTTGTATTAAGGTTTTCTTAGACTAAGTGACATTTGTATGTGATATTTTGGAATTCTTAAATTTGTAGCTGATTTGATTTGGCTTCGTTTGGTTGTTTCAGATCAATACCTGGATCATTTTCCAGCTGGTGCAAGTCAAATTGCTTGGTGGATCATGGAAAATCGGAGGGAATACTTTGATCGCGCGAAGGTTGTGCTTAACCAAGTGAAAATGCTGGTTTTTCTATCAGAATCACAGTCTAAACAATGGCAAGACTGGTGTGAAGAAGAAAAGATTAAGCTGAGGTCTCCGCCTGTTGTTGTACCACTCTCTATTAATGATGAACTGGCCTTTGTAGCTGGCATAGCTTGTTCACTTAATACTCCATCCGCTAGTACTGAGAAGATGCTCGAGAAGAGACAGTTATTGCGAGATTCAGTCAGAAAGGAAATGGGGTTAACAGATAATGATATGCTTGTGATGTCTCTGAGCAGTATAAACCCTGGGAAGGGGCAGCTCTTGCTTCTTGACTCAGCACGCTTGGTGATCGAAGAAAAACCTGCGAAAGATGATCCAAAAATAAAAAATCCAGTACATAAGCGCCAAGCCCGCTCTACCTTGGGTAGAAAACATCACTTGAGAGCTTTGTTACAAGAATTGAATGATGATGGAGTATCATCAAATGAATTGTCACTGTCCAAGGAATCTGATGTCCAGTTGAATGAACCCCAGAAGAAAATTTTGCCATTACATAATCTCTATACCTCTATTGATAGTACAGGTGCTTTGACTTTCGAAGTCACTCATATGAGGAAAGTGTTGTCAGATAAAGGAGGAACACTCAAACAATCTGTTAAATTTCTTATTGGTTCTGTTGGATCTAAGAGCAATAAGGTCATTTATGTCAAAGAACTTTTGGGATTCCTATCTCAGCATTCAAACTTGTCAAAGTCAGTGTTGTGGACTCCAGCAACCACACATGTAGCTGCATTATACTCCGCAGCTGATGTTTATGTCATGAACTCTCAGGTGATCCATCTTCGTAGTCTTTTAGTAGTTTATGTGAACAGATAACTGCTCCTAAATTATACTTGTTATTATGGATTTTGATGTAGGAGTCCCATGTCATAACAGAATCAACCATTTGTGTTTGTATTGGTTGTTTGAATAAAAATATTTTGTGAGTCTTTAGTTTTTAATCTGTAACACAACTGAGACAGACACGTAACGATATGGTATCTTTGACAGTATTAAGTGAGAACACCGGATAGATTTCAGGTCTTTATAAATCATGTGAAAGTGAAACTACTGTCGATAAATGTTATGAAATGGTTGATTTTGATATCTATCTGGATATCATTTTGTTTTATTACATATGAGGTCTTTGCAACAAAAAGTTATTGAATATGGGAGTAGCTCTGTCCACTGTATGCACAAGTTGTATTCATGAATTCCATTGGTTATGTATGAACTAGGCATACCACCAAATGTTACTGTTCTGTTCAATATGTATGTAGCGGTTCCAATTTATTGCGTTTGTAACCCATTTCTCATTTCAGTTGAATTTATAGTCCTGATTTATGCTTGTATGCATTTCATCATGAATTCCATTTAGAATTAACACAGTTTGTCAAATGGTTCACAGGGACTGGGAGAAACTTTTGGGAGAGTGACAATTGAAGCCATGGCATTCGGTCTTCCGGTATGACATTTTATTCCTCATCCCACTTGGATGATAGGTTTTTTTATGCTGCTGCTAACATTTAGTCTCGCTAATCGAACCTCAAATATGCAAAGGCATGCTACTATATGACTGCTTTATGGCGTAATCTTTCTTTTCGGCTAGGGATAGTATAGCCGTTCTTTTTTGCATCTTGAAAACAAAATGGTGTTTTTTTTAGCGTTGTATGCCTTTTTCCGGCTTCTCCTTGAAAACAACAGAAACAGTTATAAAAGATCTCTTTTGAAGCAAAATCGCATTCTAATACTGATATCGGTCATTTGATCAAATATTATTCTTATGTGTTTGCTTTGATCAGGTGCTTGGAACCGAAGCCGGAGGCACAAAAGAGATTGTTGAACACAATGTAACAGGTCTGCTTCATCCTGTGGGGCATGACGGAACTCGTGGCCTCACTGAGAATCTCCGGTTTTTGCTTAAGAACCCAGCTTCAAGGAAGCAAATGGCACTCAAAGGACGAGAGAAGGTAGAGCGGATGTACCTAAAGCGGCACATGTACAAGAAATTTGTAGACGTTCTCCTCAAGTGCATGAGACCCAAATAACACAGGTAACGGTATGATGACATTTTCATTCTTTTATTTTTAGAGAATGCTGTGAGTGGAATTAATGGAAAGTATGTTACTCTGGCTAATCGATACATATCGAGGATTGATATTTTGATGAAGGCGTGTTATGTGATGAGAGAGATTTTAAAACGTAAAGTTGGGCAAAGCAAAAGAACGTGAATTTGTTTCTACAAATTTTATACAACTGGTTATATGTTAGAGTCACTCGTGATTGTTTCTGGCATATTTGCGAGAAAAGAAGAAATCAAAGAGATAAAAGCATGCCTGGACAATCGACATGGCCTCTGTATCCTCCAGCCAGGCCACCTCCACAACCGCCTATGACGAGGAGGTTACCGCGGCGGAAAACCGCCTTACACTCGTCGCGCTCTCTTGCCATATCAATCCGTCTGTTCTTGGGGCAGCCATTTTAGCTTCGTAAAGGTAGTCCAAGAAATAAGGGACCCTGGGCACCACCTCCTCTTTAGAAGGGTTGGCTGGCTGGGATGGCCGGTTCTGAAAGAAAGGCCCTTGGAGGGTACATCTTTGATTTGCCAATTATGTTAAGACAGGAGCCCCCACTTGAGATGAAGACTGGGGGCCAGCCATTTTGCTGCTTCTCTGGTCTGGCGAACGGTGCTAGCAGCTTCGTCATTGTTGTGCGAGGGAGTTCGAGAAGATCGCGGTGGAAATCGGTTGAGAGATAAAGAAATTATAGACAACGCAACGGTTGAATGCGTGACCAACAAACCGAATATAATACTATGAATAAAACTTTATTAATTGAAACGCAAGAGAACAATACAAATTTGCCAAGGCGACTACATGACCTGTAAGAGTATAATGTGACTAAATTAGTTTTTATGTTAAACCACATGCTACATGTATTTATAGAGAACAAAACCTAAGAAATCCTAATTCATAAGGGTTCGGCCCAAGCCCAAACAATAAAATAAATAACTAGTTTTCCAACACCCTCGACAAACATGTCGTCAAACTCATGGCGGTACACAATGTGAGTTTGCTAACAAGCAGATGTGGATACAAGCTTTGTTAGGTAGACACGATAAGACAAGTTTCGTTAGGCGAACACAACAAGATAAGCTCTGTTAGGCAAACAAGGCAACACAAGCTTCGTTAGGTGGGCAAGGCGAGTCCTGTTAGGTAGACAAGACAAGCAAGCAATTTAAGTGAGCGAGCAACCAAACAATAAACCAATTTCAAGGAAAGGGATCCTCCTCCTAATCCACCAAATCAAGGAATCCGTGCCGTTAAAATTTGATCCAACGGCTACAAACAGGGACTCACTTTACAAGTTATAATAAATTCAGTTGTTGGATCAAATTTAAATGGTATGACTTCCCTGATTTGGTGAATTAAGAGGAAATAATCCGGAGAGGTTCCCTCTCCCAATTTCTAACAACCAAGCAAAGCAATTTCCAAGCAGTTAATATATGGATAAGGGTAGTGAAGTGGCAAATGACGACAACCAAAATCAAATAGCAAATTCTGAAGGGCTGGCAATCAGATTCCGAAAAAACTTTATTGATTGAAACGAGGATAACATTACAAATTCGCTAGGCAACTACATAACCCGTAAGATTACATTGTGATTAACTTAAATCTCATATTAAATTGCAAACTATATTTATAAATAAAGAAACTTAAGCTATCCCAATTCAGATGGTCTAGACTCTAATCCAAACAATAAAATAAATAACTAATTTTCCAAGGTTTCCAATTCATGGATTAAAGGTCTTGCTTGGTGCTTGTTACTGTGTTTCTCTCTTCCGTTTGGATTTATTTTCCTTTTTCCCTTTTTCATTTGGAAACCTACTCTTTATTTTTAATTTTTTTTTATTCATACCTACTCTTTATTTTTTAGCTTCCCTTTTTCATTTGAATTTCTTTTCCCTTTCCCCTTTTTTTATTTTGAGTTTCCCTTTTTCATTTGGATTTTTTTTCCCTTTTCCCCTTTTCATTTGGAAACCTTACTCTCTATTTTTTGAGTTTACCTTATTTCATGTGGAATTTTTTTTTTTTTTTCATTTGGATTTTGTTGTATAAATTAGCACTTTAAAGGCTGCTCTTTTATCTAAACGAAGTTTTAGGCATGATCTCTACATATCTATAGTTTCAGCATGTGCTTTAAAGAATAAGTCTAAACAAATTTCTTATTTCAATAAACTAAAATTACGTTGTTCCGCAACCAACATGTGACAATAAAATAGATTTATGTCTTTAAAATACAATTTTCTGTTATTTGACATAACTATTTTTAATTCAAATTGATTAGTGTAATCTTCTTCAAACAATAGCTAAGATGTGATTATTTTTTTTAACAAAGATATGATTTCTTTAAATAAAAAATAATAACATTTTTCTTTTTAATAAATCCCTGTAATCTTCTTAATAGTGATTTTGCAATGAGAAAGATTGTTTTTGTAACCACTATATTATCATAGTGGGTATTATTGGTGCAATAAATAATGGAAAACGCAAATTAAATAACTCTTGTCTTTTTTGTTTTCTTTTACTGTTTTGGGCATGAGGTTGGATTATTTAGTTTACGATAAATTAGAGAGACCAAAATTTTAAATTAAATTCTCAAATTAAATGATAGATAATTAATAAAAAAATATACACGTTAATCAACATTTAAGTAATAATTCAATTATCAATAACTATATAATTTGATTTACAAATTTGGTCTCCCTAGTATTTAACAATATTATTTAGGCTTTTTAGCCAAAATTGTCCATGAGATTGACATAACTCCTCCTCACTTTTGTTTGGTCCCTGAGATTTTGAAATCGATAGAAGTGGTCCCTGAATTTGTGCATTATCAATTATTTTGGTCCTTCCGTAAAGATCTCTATTAAATAAGTACCAAGATGCCAAAAATACTCTCAATTTAATAAACAATTGACCAAAAAGATTTGACAAAATGAGGGTATTTTTGTCACTTTATTCTTACTTAATGAAGTTTTTTTTCTTTTTTTTTTCTTCATAAAATGACCAAAATGATTAATGGTAGACAAACTAGAGGGACCACTTCTATCAATTTTAAATTTTAGGGACCAAAATGAGGAGTTATGCTAATCTTAAGGATCATTTTGGCTAAAAAGCCTATTATTTAATCAACATTTAACCTTGAACCAATAATAGACCCAGTCTATATGAATGCATATGACAAACTTACCTGAAGCGATGTCTTTGATTTTTCTTGACGTTCTTGAGATCAAAATCCTGAGACATTTAGACTCAACAATTACAATGAAAATTGATACGAGTCTAAGCAAAATACAGACACATGCGTTTTGTTAGGATTGTCAAATTTTCGCACTAACAGCATCTGTAATTGTAGAATTGTATTACTGGTGAATGTCATTTTATTTGATTAATGAAATACTTTTTATCTTAAAAAAAAAGTTACAAGTTTACTATCGTTTATTCAGGGCCATTAATATAAGGTTATGTCAATTAAAACTCTCTTCATATGACCATGTATTAGTAGCCTAAATATTGTAAACGAGGGTGTCATCTTGATATCACTCTCCGTCTCCGTTCTATTTTCTTGGGGCGGTCTTCAGTCCTCTGGCTATAACCAACACGACAAGTCGTACAAAAATTCTTAACAACACCTCTAATCCAATTCTCTTTACCTAAAGATTTTTCAGTGTGTATGGAACACAAGATGATACACTACGTGTTCAGTGATGAGATACTTGTGTTAAAAATTTAACAAACTTAAAAAATATATAAAATTTTCTCCACTTATATAATGAAATTGTGGTGTATCACCATGTTTCACGCATAATGAAAAAATTTCTCGTCTGTACTAGGATAGTCACCTTCTCTCTTACAGCATTTACAAATCAGAGTACCGCTAGGGCCAACTTTTGGAAAGATTTTTCACTGTGACCGGAATACGGGATAGTACACAACGTGTTATTATACAAATGGTGAGATCTGTGTGTTCAAAAGTTAATAATTTAAAATATAAAATTTCTCATCGCTTATATAAAAACACGTGGTGTACACCATCCGTGTTCCGGTCACAAAGAAAAATTTCTCCAACTTTTGCATCCTTTGGGACATTGTACTGGTATGGGCAACCCGAATTCGAGTGACCTTGTATCGACAAACTTTGCATCTCGGATCAAGAAGCTCACTATGAATTCCCCCAAATACACCACCTCTACAGAAGGTTTGGGGGGACGGCCGGTTTCTGGCCCTGAACCTTGATCAGTTATGGTTTCACGACTTTTTGCTTCTTTTTTTTTTTTTTTTTTTTTGCCTGGCTCTTTCTCGGTAGAGGTATATTTGCTACTCTAGGTTTCTTAGTTTTTGTGGGTCAGTATCGGCTTCTTTGATGATATTGGAGAGTGGTGCTTCTTCTCCGGCGAGTGGTGCTCACAGATTGGTCATGGTTGTGCGAGGGAGATGGAGGAGATCGCGGCGGAAATCGGTTGAGAGATGAAGAAATTATAAGACAACACAAGGGTTTACTTCTATTGACATTCCATTCTAATAAACTAAAATAACGTTGTTCAGCAGCCACCAAATGACAATAAAATAACTTTCTGCAAATGATTTGACTTCAAAATTCAATTTTGGTTTACTTGACTTAACTATTTTTAATACAAATTGATTAGTGAAATCAAAGAGACAATAGCTAAGATATGATTTCTTTAAACAAATATAGCATTTTCCTTTCAATACAGCTCCCATAATCTTCTCAATTGTGATTCTGCCAACGAGGAGAAAGATGGTCTTGTGACCACTGTATTATCATAGTGGTATTATGGTGCAATAAGCAATGGAAAATGCAAATTAAATAACTCATTTTGAGGACCTATGACTGTGAGGACTTCTTTTTTATGAGCTCTTGGATTAATCTAATGATAGCAAAATTAATGATGTTATATAATCTTGTTATATTTAAACAAAATGAAAACACGTGAACTAACTTTAAAAATTAGGGTTTACATTCATCCAAGTTTTTAGACGACGCTATGTACTAGTCGGACGGCGGGTCGGGGCCTTGACGGACTAGGCGGATTTAAGTAAATATATATATATATATATATATATATATATATATATATATCGTATAAATAAGTGTGCTTATTCTTAAAAAATACATAATTTCATTAGGATACATAAACTGTAGAATAAAATGACATATAGAT